GCAGGCTGTTCTGTCATCAGAGCTTTGCTTAGGCAAGATCTTTCCTTGGCAGAAGTGGTGGGGGAGAAAGGGGGTATAAGGGAGAAAACAAGAGGGGGATGTGTGCGCTCTACCACAGTTGAGGTTTCTCAGTTTGTCTCCTTGTCTCCCCTCCACAGAACCTCCTTCCACTCTTGCCAGTTTCCCAGTGGTTTAATTCAGATTTACATCTGGAATGGGGCCAGTGCCAGACATTGCAGGGAAAAGGGGCAGGAAATGCAGCTGCAGGTAATTACAAAACAACCTGCTCAGATACATCATTTTGTCCCTGTCAGTCAGGGCTGGCTTGTATTTCGGAGGAAGAGGGCTTACATCTCTTACATTTCTATTCTATCTCATGTAGCTCTGGATGTTCTTATTTATCCATTGAAACATCTGATCCTTTCGTGCTTCCTGCAGAGCTCTTGGCCTCCCTAATGACAATGATTTCCATCTGTGCTCTCACTCAGATCATTTCCAGGCTCCTTTTGGTGAGCATGTGGATTCACAGGGATCTGAGCTCCTGTTTTGTGAATGAGCTCAACGGAAGACTGCTGGAGCTCTTGCTGCCTCTCAGGCTCCACAAAGCTCCACTCCCTTTCCTGCAGTCAGCCTGGTTCCTTTAGGGTAGCTGGGTTCTGTTGCTCTTCTTGCCAGGGTGATGAGCCAAACTGGTGAACTGTTCAGAGCAGGGAGAAGAAGTCTTCTTCCTGCTCTGAACAGGCAGAAGGAGTGGAAGGCTCCCAGAACCACATGCTCAAAGCCAGCCCTAGTTTCCACCTTAGCCAGACCCCTACCTGACACACGCTTTACTTCTCCAGTGTCCACCAGGAAGAGAAAGAATACTGCATTTGTTGCCACTACCACTTTTAGTATGCAGCTCTCAAGCACATAGACTTATATAATCTCAAAATATTTGCTTATTTTGTTTGGCATGAATTCTAGAGGACATAACTGTGGGTTTCCGAATATTTAAGGCCAATGTGTTATTTATAAGCAATGTTGGAAACATCCTGAGCATGTGGATTTTAGTGAGGAGAGTCTGGGTTTGGTATGTCCAAGCACCTCAGGTTTGCCATTCTGCAGTGCTGTTTGTGGTGATTGCTTTTGAGGTTAGCAGTGTCTGTAGTGGTGCTAGACTCATGACATTCTCTTCCCAATTTCTTCAATCTACTGGAAAACAGCAATGACAATATAATGCAGGTAGTGAAGGACTGAGTGAGACCCTGCTTTTGAATCCCTTGCAGTGCCCCTGTTTAAACTCCCAGCAGCCATCAAACCCCTGCTCCCTACTCTCCCTCAACAGAGCCCTCACCATTTTCGCCTGAGATGGTAACCACCATCCTTGGTACAACACCCCAACCTGGAACTACATCCCCAGGGAGGAGCAGGATGCAGAGAACTGAGCCTGCTCCTCTGTGTACTCCTCTGTCCACCCATCCCTCATGGTGTTTAAACAAGGCTCATCTCCATGCTGGCTGCCACAACATCCATCTTCAGCAGCCTTTCCTCCAGGATACACAATCCCTGCAGTACAGCTGCCTGACAATTAGCCAAGAGCCAGAGCAGCTCCTGTGGCCCACGTTTTCCTTCTGCAGGAGCAATTAGGCTGCTGGAGACTGTCTTCAGTAGGCTGATGTTATCTCTGCCCTGACGCAGGCGAGCAGCCCTAAGCCCTTGTGGTAACTCTGCCAGGGTCACAGAATCACAGAATATGCTGAGTTGGAAGGGACCCACAAGGATCATCGAGTCCAACTCCCAGCCCTGCACAGGAGTATTAAATTTCTCCCCTCTGCCTGTGTTCCTCTACCTGCAAGACAGGCTGAGTTTCAGAAGTCTTCCAGCTATCTCTAGCAGCGGGCAAAGATTTTCCTTTAGCAGCACCAAATATCAAGACAGCTTTTCTGCTCTGTGCTTGAGTCAAACCTGCAAGGCTTTTTGGAGATGTATCCTGCACTGCCTGCAAAAGCCACCCTTTTCCTGGCATGTTGAGAGTAGGGAGCCACTCTGGCTGGTTCTGTAGGGGAAACCCTTAGCTTTCCAACCAAACCACAAAAGGTCTGACATTTTGCTGCCTGCTAATTGAGACAAGATAAGTTTGCATTAGGGATGCCTGTTCCTGCTGACATTGTCATATCCAGAAGGTCTGCTCTGCTCGGGTGTTAATTGTGTCTAGGAGCACTTCCAGCCACTCTGTGTCACAGCCCAGGGAGAAACAATCTCTACCCTGGAAAGCTTTTACCTAATTAGACAAGACAGATAGGCAGGGAGACAGAAAGAAGGAAGTGGCAAAAGCCTTGCCCAGGGCCACGTGTTGGGTGAGTCGTGGCAGCAGGATGTGCAGCCAGGTCTTGTGATATTTGCACTGTGGATACACATTGCGTCCACCACAGGGATCAGGCACAGCATGATACCAGAGCCATCCCAGGGTCCACTTTCCAGCCCACCCTTCCCCTGCTCCCGTGGTCTGCATGAGGGTACTTCCCTCTCCTGGCACAAACCCCAGCTTGGCAGGAAAAGCCTGGCTTGGCTGGGAGTGTGGGTGGAAGGACAAGGAGGTAAGCCCTGGCCAGCCAGCAGCCCTCAAGAGCAGATGGAGGGTTTGGGGCATTGTCTGCAGTGGGTGGTGACATCTGGGCAGATGAAGGGCATGTGGCCCCGGAGTCCAAGGCTTAAAGGTGGTGTGACTGATGCTGGTGATAAACATAGGAGTTATGTGATGAGCCTTTCCCGTGTTTTGGTGGTGGGTCCCCTTCCCAGAGCAAGCACAGCACTGATCACTGAGCCTGGGGTCACCCCTCTGACACTGTGGTGTCTGATGCTGCATCAGTCACCAGAGAGAGAAGACCAGAGTCAAGCTCCACACATGTCACTGGTTTAGTTGGACTCTGTCCCCAGCTAATGTGGAATTTGTCATGGGTCAAAGAGGCCGGATTGGTACCAAAACTGTTCCTTTGATACCTGTCTTGCCTTGAATGGCTCCAGAGTAAAATTAATGAGACTACCAATGCTTCTCTGTATGCTATGGGACACATTCCCCCAGCCCTGTCCTGATCACACACTGGCCAAGGCTCTACCCCATATCATCCAGTTTTGCTGCAGAGTTGGGATGTTTGAGTGACAGGACTTGGGAAGAGACCAATCCAGGCTTCTTGATGAGGTGTTTTATTCTTCTACCCATGCTTATTTGGGGTACATCAAGATCTTTAGTTTAACATTCTGGAGGAACAGTTTATAACTTACAGTGACTGCAAGTTCTTTAAACAGCAAGCCAAGGTCTTGCTAAGGAGGAGAAGGGCAGGAATAAGAGAAAATGACCCTGAACTGTGAGACACTGAATGGAAAAAAGATGCTTATTTCAACTGTTTCAGCAGAGTTTCTTCTAAATACCAAAAATCATTTGGGAACTGCTTGCTGTTGCCCAGAGAATGGGAGAGGAAGTAAGTTAGGAATTATGTGTTTCTAGCAGGCTGGGAAGATCATGGCTACTGGGCTTCAGAATCAGCCTGATTTGCAAGCCATGTATACATGCTCACACATTATTGCCCACAGGACTCCTAGTGTGTCTGTTTGAGCTGTTCAGCAATTTCTGATGTTTGGGATCACCTGGAATTTGGCTCACGGGCTTTGTTCATTGAGGAAAGTCAGCTGGGGCAAGAAACAAGGGATTTCACCTTTCTCCCTGATTAGATGAACCAGTCCAATGCAATTAAGCAGCTTAGCTTAAGGCAACAGAAGCCATTATTGCTGGGCTCCTCTGCTCTTCTTGAACTCTGTTATCCACACCAAAAATGTCAGAGGAAAAAAAATTTTCCTTCTGTGCCTGGCGTCTCCCTGGCGCTGGCTGAGTGGCAGGTGCATATCTGAGATACTTCTATGTGCATCTATCTGATCACCTTCTCTCCCTACTTCAGGCAGTCTCATTTGAGGTGGGGTGGGAGTCGGCCTCATAAGAGAGCAAGAACACCTGGCCAGGTGTGACTCTCAGCCCTCTTTATGGAAAACCTCCTTGTTTTGGCAGCTTGCCTCCCTGTCAGGGACAGAGCTCATCTTGGCTGCTGAAGGCACCATGCAAAAGTCTCCACCTACCCTTAGGAAACAGCAGGAGTTGATAAGGGTTGATGAGAACTCCTCTAAGTTGTGCTTCTTCATCCTTCTTCTCCACTAGGCCTGCACCAGAGCAGAGGGGATGCCTGGGGAAGGCATGTAACACGTGCCACTTTTGGGATAATCCTGTGACTTTTTATCTGAGCCTGATCTTCATGTGTACTGCTGGGTTGGAAGGGGGTTTTGCAGACTGGCATAAATATTGCATGGATTATTCTCTTCTGCTTATGAATATCCATGCTGCAGTCTCACTGCCCCTTATTTCAGAAAAAAAAAAAAAAGTGTAACATGCAAAGAAAAAGAGAGACACACACACAGATGCATTCATGTACATACATTCATACACACCTGTGCAATGCACAGAACTGATCCCTATACCCATCCCCAAACACAAATGGAGCTTGAGGGCAGGGTGTATTCACTCTTGTCCAAAACACAGACCATCTCTTCCTTCACGGGAAGATCCCAGTTGATTGCCTATTTACACAGATGTCACTAAGTATGGCTCTGCTACTCAGACAGCTTTCCCAGTAAGAACGGTGGGTTTTTACATTCAGGTGCTGCTATCACCCATTCATGTATTAATAAAGACAACTAAAGGCCTGTGTTTAGAAAGAAATCTACTTTCAGTGAAAATGCCTCTAATCTATCTTGTGGGTTAGAAAGTCCTCAGTGTCCATTTGGCACAGCAGGAGTTATGGTCCAGTAGTTACTGCCAGCTAAATAGCCTAAGAAGGTGTCCCAAGCTCTCTGAAAGGCATGTGGGCACTTCCATAGCACTTCAAACAGCATTTTTGCTTCTGGCTATAAAGTGTCCCTGCAGGAGATGTTGGCATATATCACAGCAGCTGCAACGTGATGCTCAGAACAGAACAGCAGAGCTTGAGAGACAGGGTACAGAGGGCAGAGTCTGAGCCAGGAAAGGGTGCGGAGATCAGTGAGGTAAATACACACCAACACAGACTCCTGTGGATATTATAGAAACTGCAATTATGGAGACACCTCTCTCTTTCTTCTAACAGACACCAGACTCATGCTGCACCCTGGGAGAAGACCAGAATGGACTGGTTTGGGTTCAAGGTGAGTCTATAGAGAATTAGGTAGCAATATGAGCTCCTATTCTTGTGACAGACCTCTGACTAGAACTGAAGATCTCATCCCTTTCCTTGAAAAGATTGCATGAGTTTTAAGAGCAAAACTGCAGCAATGAGCAACAGAATTTGCTGCCAAATGGGTAGAGCTCCTCTGGGCTGCCAGAAGAGCTGTCTGGTGGGCTAGAAAACTGTCTGCAGGAGCAAAAGGACATCACAAGCCTTTCCATCTTCTGTCTCATGCATGAGGGCACTTGAAAGCTGCTTTCTCTTCCTGTGATACCTGGTGAGCAAAATGAAGTGCTTGCATTACATTCATGCTCCTGCCTGTGGGAGAGGAATGAGGAAAGGAGTCCCACAGGGCAGATGTTAGTCAGACTGCTTCAGGTGCAACCAGAAGGTCTTCAGATACCACCACGATAGTTTGTGTAAGGAAGGGATCAACTCCAAGTTTGTGTCACTGTGGGATGGGGTCATGGCTGCTGGCGTGGAGTCTGACATTTGGGAAAGAGTCATCAAAGCCTCAGAAGTGAGAGAAATGTCTGGTCCTATAAAAATTACACATGGATGGGGAGGAAAAAGGAAGGCCTCTTTTTGTGAAGTGGTGTCAGGAGAGAGCTTATTTTTTCACTTTAGCAGGTAGCACATTATTCTGGGATGGACAATGATGGTTTCATTTCTGAAGCTGCTTGTCCTTGTGTTCCTGCAGACACAAATATTCTCCCCAATGGTTTTACAACACAGAGAGGAAAGTGACTTCATGGCATTCCTTTTCTGACTGTTTCTCTGACATGAGCTTTCTAAACATAGATCAAAAAATCAGAAAGCACCAGGAGAATTATGGGTTTCTACACCCTATTGTGCATTATAATAATTATAATTATTGTAAATACGGCCCAGACACTGTAATTTTCTCCTCTCCATTGGGCCTTTCTTTTTCATTTTGTTCTTCTTTTTATGACTGTTTTCTAAGAAAGTTTTCATATGTCACCTTATAGATGGGAAATGGCAGAGTCAGCTCTTAAAATAAAAAGAGAGGAGTGGCTTGGGAGGAATGGAGAAAATGATGAGAAGGGAGTGAGGAGAGGGAAATGTCATATAGTCTGGTGAGGGCACCACTGGAGACAATCAGGAGACCTAGTGCTGTACCTAACCTATTGCCAACTTGCTGTGTGATTATAGGCTCCATCTTTGTACATATTTTTGGTTGTGGAAGCCTTCTCTTATCTCTTATCTCATTGCCTGGCTCAGCAACTATTTGATCGTAAGTTTAGAGGTGCTGAGCACTTCTCACATGCAGTGTCTAGTTTAAGTTATTGTAAGGAGGTATGGTAAGCATATTTGAATAGGTGGAGCTTTTGCAGCATTGTTCAAGTACAGTCAGAAAAACCTGGTTTACATTTTAGATAGAGTGGCACACTATGGTACAGGCTCTGGTTCTGTGCTCTGTGAGTCTCCAGGGCAGAGAGGTGGCTTTGATGTGTCTTCTTGCACAGGCAACTTGATCCTCTTCCTGTGGGCCTTAAGGCATGGCATGGAAACATGGAGACTGAGAATCAAGAATATCCAGTATTTCTCCCAGCAGAAAATCAGAATGTGGCCAGGGTATGGACTTAGATGTGTAAAGCAGAAAATGCTCTTACACCTCAGAGAACAGATACAAGTAATGCCACCTACAGTTGGGTGAGCAATGAGAAAAGTAAAGATGCAGGAACCAGTGTCAGGAGAAACAAAATATCCAGACACCCTGGAGTCAGGAAAGAGAGTTTATGCTGAATTCAGCTGAGCTTAAAGAAAAAATTAGAAAGAAAATGGAAAAAGGTAGAATAAGATGGATAAGATCTGGGAGGTATAGTGCAATGAACAGTAGGAAAACAGCAAAAATATCTATGTGATGTAGAGAATAGGAAAGAGGAAGGCAGGCAAAGGAGAAATTACCCAGAGTGACAATCAGTGTTTTGAAATAATGAGCTGAATTGAAACATCAGCACCAAAAATACAGCAGAGGTTCAGATTGAAGTGCAATGATTTATCCAACTTTTGCCTGAACAGGAGCAAAGTAGTTTTGAGAAGTCTCTCACTGAGAACTTGGACTTCTTCCTCTCCTCAGGAGTTTTCACTGGAGACTTCCAAAGGAAACTAAAGAGCAGAAAAATGCACTCTGCCACACGAATCGGGAAGCTTTGCTTTTACATAATTGTAAAGAAAGTAAATTAGTCTTTCTGGGTGACTTTCTACCAAGTGTGTAAGGTTTAGAGTGTGGACTACGGGTGTGAGAGTAGGTATTACTCTGCCAATCAAAAGGGAATACTGCAGCCAGTGCAATCAGGATTTTGGCTTCTAATTCAAGGCTGGAGAAGTGATTGACTATAGCCTGAAAGTGGGTTAGTAGAGTTTAATTTCTGCCTTTCCCACTGTCCTGCAGTAACCTTCTGAATCACTCTCTTAGTACAGCAGCTCCAATCAGTTGCTTCACAGAGGGTTTCCTTGATGCTGAATTTGCTGTTTGCAAATGTCCAGAAATCCGCTGCTGAAAGGAGGAACATTATTCCTTTGCTGTATGGGTCAAGAAGTTCTTACAAGAAGGCCTGTGTATTTGCCTCTGGCTGTCCAAAAATACAGTGCTGCTGCAGGCAATGCAATAGGCTGAGCACAGCCCTGTGCATTAAGAGGAACATTTGCTGTAGTATTTGGAAATAAGTAAAATCATCTGCTATCTGCATTTCTTACAAATACCACGGATTCCTTACATTTGTGCCTCCACCATTCCAAGCTGTTGCTTTGACTTGCTAATAGGTCTCTGTTGTAAAAAAACCCATGTGTTTTTTTTTTTTTTGTTGTTTTTTTTTTTAATGGAGCTAACACTCAGATGTTACTTTGTGCCCAGAGAGGCGGCAAGGACATGGAGTCTGTGGATTCCAGGAGGAAAGGTCTGCAGGGCTCCTGGAGGGAAAACTACCAGACAGATATTTATGAAAAGAAGGTGATCTGGTTGAATTCAAGACTGTATTACAAACTATGTGTTTATCTGGTGTCAATTGGCAGTTTCATTGAATTAATTGGAGCAGTGCTGATTTATAACTATGGAGGGTTTAGACAACTCTACATAAACAGCTTTAATGAAGCCCCTTTTAAGGCACCAAGAGTCTGTACCAAGAGATAAATCTTGAAGAGCTATAGGTCCTTGCCATTGTCTTCCAAACTCTGATCTTCCTTATCACTGTAAAGAAGGTATGGAGCTTTCCCGATCCAGGTTCAGCCAAATCACTTTCCATTGCTCTCAGCTCTACTGATGCAACTCCTCCAGCCTGTGCTGAGTCACTGATCACAATTAAAAGACAGCAGCAATCACAAAGAGATGGATATTCCCATCAGCAGCAGCAGCATCAGGTGAGAGATGGTGTATGGAGCTAGGGTCACGTGCTAAATTCTAATTTGACCCATGGAGAAATACACACTAATGGAGTGGGATCACTGAGCCTTACTCTCTCAACTTGGGATTGGCTGTCTTTCCAAGAGATAGATGCTCGCCCCAAGACAAGGTGTTACCTTGTTCAGCAATCACCAAGGCTTGTGGAAGAGAGGACTGAAAGAAAAGTTGTGGCTAGTACTGAGCAGGTGTTAAGAAGCAAACTGGATGAAAAGTGCCTGAGGATCCCTGTGGGCATGCAGAGGTAAGGATTTAGCCCCTCAGACAATATCCATTCTTTGTGGGCTCACATCACCTCCACTGCAGTCCTGTCTGTGGTGTAGCAGCCACACTCAGCAGGCCTCTCCCCAGCAGTGGGTGGAGGATGGTGGATATGTTACCCACCACACAAGACTGCCAGCGGGCTGTGTGGCATCTGCTGCAGCTGCCTGGGAGCTGGGTATTGGTGTTGCAGACAGCACTCAAGAAGAGGAGAGCATGAGGATCTCCAGAATAGACAGCTGGTAGTTTAATTTCAGCAGGGATAGTTACAAGGTAATGCAACATGAAAAATCAGTTTAAGTTACTTATGTAACATGACAGGCCCTTAATTATTTATTTCTTACTCAGGAAAACATCAAGGTCCTTTTCAGGCTCCTTTTCAGGCACTACTTTAAGCAGTAGTGATCACAATAGCTAGCACTGGAAATGCTGTACTGTGATACCTTCCTATGAATTCAAATTATGTCTGCATTTGAAACTATGTACTCAGATTTTGTCACTTTTCTTAAGGATATATCAGAAATAGAAGATGTCTAAAGATAGTTGATACAAATTATTAGAAAAGGATTTCACAAAGAAAAGTTTAGGACTATTAATTTAGTGAGAGAGATGTGACATGGGAATGAAAAGAATATTGGCAGGGAGAAGGCGCATAAGATCCAGGCATTTACTCTTTATTAAAATACCAGAATGAGAAAGAAAAAGATCACGACTTAAAACACTGTACCTGGAATACTAATAAAGGAATACACTGCATTACACAGTATGTAACCTGTGGAATTCGCTCTGTGAAAGCACGACTGGGGCCAAGAGTTTGGGAAGACATTACTCTCACATTTTCCATACAGAAGCAATAAAAATATCATCCACCCCTACACCAGCTGGGCTAAAAACCTACACGGGATATAAATCTTCATCTTGCATGACAATAATTGCTGCGAGCTAGACAAGGAAGCCTATTGCATAACTGTCCACTACGAGGGTTTTACTACCTCCCATGAAGCATGTGGTGCTGGCTGCTGGCAGAGATGTGCTGCTGGAAGGGGTGCTGCCACTTTCCCTTGCCATCCCTCCTGTTTCCATACAGTTTTCCCTCTGTAGTTGTGCTGGTGACCTCTGCATCAGTGGGACAGACAATCTTCTTTGGTGCTTGTAGCAGTGAGGGTTATATTTGGCGTGTGTGGCATCATTCTGGTGAGTTGGCTGAAATGAGACATGCCTCTAGCCTTGGGAGATGGGAAAGCTGGGAGTCATTCTTCTGGCTCCCTGCAGGGGCAAGCTCCATGGGTAGGAGTCAG